TCATATATTCGAATCTGATTAAGTTTTTGTTGATACCATTATCTGACGGATTTAAAAAATTCAATCCATGTCTGAATCTATTAATTTTCGAATACATGATCCGAAATCCGATCTGATCAGATCTGATTATCACAAAAATCAGACGTACATCAAAAAATTAATAATAAGAATTTGGATAATGAACTGAAAAAATGAGGGAAAAATGAAAATTTGAAGTGAAAGCAAAAGGGAAAACCAGATAAGAGAGGGAAATAAAATGAAAATGGAAAAAGTGGGTCTTACATTGTGATATTCACTCTATTTTTACTTGTTTTTCAATATAAATATAATATATTTATGATATTTATTTGCATAATATATTTTTTTTTATTCAGATCGGATTATTATAAATCCATATTCAAATCTGTTTAGACAACTCTAATCGGATTCGAATCGGATCGGATTAATGGATTGAAAATCTAATCCATATCTACTTAAATAGATCTGGATTGGATTCGGGTTGAAATCCGGTTCATTGACAAGCCTACCTATGACCATATAATCTACAGTTGTTCTAGTTTTACTAAAGTAGTGTGTAAACCAAAATATAATTGTGTTCTGGTTTCCTGAACAAAAAATCCATGTCAGGTGTGCAATCTTATGTTTGAGAATTATAGTTGCAGCCTAATATCTATGGATATCATCTCTAAGTCGTTTAGAATCCTAAAGAGTTGCAGCCTAATATCTATGAATATCATAAGTTGTTTAGCATCCTAAAGAGTTGCAGCCTAATATCTATGAATATCATCTCTAAGTTGTTTAGAATCCTAAAGATGACATTTGCTTTTTGGCCATGTTCAATAGCTCTTTTGGTTGACAAAGTGTAGTGGAAACTTCAATTGTTCGGTATGAAGTGTGGGTTTGCAAGAGAGTCACTAGGGAGGGTAGCTAAAGAAAATAATTTGTTAGTTTGACAGATGACAGTTGTGATATTCCCTTTTTGTTACTGTTTTTTTGTTTTCTACATTTACTACACAATTATGGTTTTATGTAGAGGTGGCAAATAGGCAGGTTATGGGTTGATTCAAAGTGAGTTGGGTTAAATCCATTAACCAGTAAAGTAATTAAAACTCTAAATATAAACACATACTAATATATCAAATAAAAACACACCCTAATACACAAAAAAATACATACACACCAAAACAAACACACATTAATACACCAAAACACAAAAAAAAAAAACACGCACACACACACATTAAAACACCAAAACACACAAACTCGCACTAATAACCTAAAACACACACACACTAATACACCAAAATTCATACACTATTACACCAAAACATAGACACATACACATGCTTATACACTAACGCACACAAATACTAATACACCAAAACAAACATACACTAATATATCTAAAAACACACATACATAATTCACCAAAACAAACATACACTAATATACCAAAAAACTCACATACATAATTCACCAAAATGCACACACACTGTAACACACACAAAATATAACACACACACAAAAAGGGTTTGGGTTCGGGTTGGGGTCAGGATCAGACCCGGGGTCCGAGTTGGGGTCGGGCCGAGGTCGGGTCCTAGTGTGTGTGTGTGTTTTCGTATACTAATGTGTGTGTGTTTTGGTATACTATTGTGTATGTGTGTTTTGGTATATTTTACAGGATTACTATGTCATTATAGCTTGGACATTGCTCTTGACTGTAGGCATGTGGTTGTTTATCTTTATCTAGCTGCTTTTGTTTCAATGAAATATGAACTATTAGTTTTTGTTGTAGTCCAAGTACATAAAATACTGAATTTTTAGCTTAGCTTAAGATCTGTGACTGTCTGACTTTTGTTTTGTTAATAATAGTTTATCTGACTATATATTTTTAGGAACTACTTCTGCTTTGTTAGGAGACCCTGAACCACACACAAAGTCGCAGGGTTTTGCTCAATCTCAAGTGATGGAGCTGTTTAACTCCGAGAACAAGACAAATGGATTATCTAGTGTTAATGTTATGGAGCCAAAAAGTGATGAAATTCTGCCTGCCATGGAGAAAACACAAACGTCAAACATGATTGTTGGCTCAGAAAGTAAGCATATCAAAGGCGCACTTCCTGAAGGCTTCTTTGATGACAAAGATTCTGATCTTCGTGCACGTGGCATTACGCCTATCAAGCCAGATGTCAAGTTAGTTCTTATTTCTACATAATTATGCATCTTGATGTTTCTATTTATTTTTTTACGCTGGTGGTAACTTAATTTTTGTAAATGCCGTGTTTAGAGTTGATGGATTTGATAATCATAATGCTCTTTTAAAGTTGTCATTTTGTTTGTCGATATTCTGTCTTGTAGTTTTTAGCCACCATCTTTGAAAAACAAGGCTTCACTACAGTCTGAAATTTGTGTGAAGAAAATTGAGATCTGAACAGATTTTTGATGTTTTCTGAGCAGTAGATTATTTAAAGAACTGTGAACATGTTTGGAAGCGCCAAGATGATACCATTTTTTTCTGTGTTGTCATCATCATCCCCCTTGTTTTCAATTTTATTGATGAATGACCTATCCAGGACATGTGTCTATAATTCATTGAAAGTACTGCTGATCAATTCTTGGTAGTTGGTGGGAGTGATGATTGTGCATTCCTCAATGGCTAATGGTGGTATTGCAGTTATGCGAGTGATCAACTGTTCAACTATTGAACTCAGTCCTCTGAAGTCTGAAATATAGATGTGTTTGGTGTCAAATGTCGCTTGTAATGACATATTTGAAAGATGATTGAAGTAATTTAAAAATCGTAGAGTTGTAATGAAATATTGTGCTAGTAACATTATTTCTAGCTAGGCATATTTTGTGGTTCAATCTGAGGCAGACTGAAATGGATATTCATATATGTCTGAGACTGATTGTGATGATGAGGTGGTGGATGTGCCCTCGGAAGAACTATAATATCAGGGCTCCAAAAGAGGGAAGGTCCCTGACTTCTTCTGTGTTTATGTTGACTCCCTCAGTCGACTACTTGTGTGATAATTTTTCCATTTTTATTATATTTTATCCCTAAACAATTAAGTGGTTGGTATAATAATTTTTTCCTCTTGAGTTATAGTATATTCTAGCAGCTGCTTATGTTTGAACTCAACACCTAGCATTTGTTTTTAAGCATAGTTGAACATGTTCATATGAACTATGCAGGGCCAGAAGCTGCCAATTATGTGTAGCGAAGACCTTATTTTTATTGTGATAATAATTGAATACACGTTTGGAGAATTCAGCTGCCGTTATTTCCGCAGATATTCATTGTTAAGAACCAACATATTAAGCTAGACATTTTTGAATCGATTAGTTGTTGTAGCTGTATACATCTTTGGTGGGACACTTTAGATGCTTGTATTCACGTGTGCATCTATCTGGCCAGAAGTTGCTTGCTTCAATAAATAAGTTCGAACTTCTAATGCTTTATTTTATTGCCAAAGAATCATTTACATAGATTTACGTGATTATTAAGTAGGTGTTGATAAGATTTGAACTTGGCTTCCACTCTTTAGTAGTCTCACTTTTACATCTTTACCCCTTACACAGAATTTCATGGGCCAGTTTCACCCAAAAAAGGTTTGTTGCATTTGGGTTGTCTGCTGTTGCTTATGAAGCCCAGATCTTTCAGTTACACCTGAAGTGGGACTCAACCTACTCTTGTGCGACAGTAGCATATGCCCCATCCAATCCCTAGCTTCCTCACTAGGGAACCCACAGCTCTGCGAGGAACCTGTCCCCAGTGCCCAGGGGCCAGGGGCACATGGCACAATGCCAGGACCTTTATGTGAAGTGTTTCCCACATTTGGATTCCTTTTCCCCTGCTTATAAAATCCAGATCTTCCCGATTCCGATCTCATGTGAGACTTAACACATGCCAGAGTGACTGTGATGATCTAAGATTTTAATAGAATATATGGCAATATTAAGACTTTGGTCCTCTACAAGGTAAAAATTTGGATTTGCTCTTGAGGTTAATAATTTTATGTATTTTCTCTTTCTTATTTTTGTTTAAGTTGCTTTGAAGATGAGTTTGATTCAGATTGAATGCTAAAGCAGTCAGGACACACTTAACCACACAAAACCCAGTTTTTTACTCATTCATGTCCAATTACCTATTTACCTCATGAATAGGTTGTGTGAAAATGATGAACATGTGAAGTTGTCACTTGTCGTGAGTTGTTGATCAGGACCACCTCTCTCTCTGGTGCTAATTAAACCATTGAACTTGTTATTTGCTGATATCACACATTGGTATTTTAAAGACTGCACTTTACAAACCCTATGCACTGTATGTCGTGGTCTATTGCAGCTGTTGACAATTATGCCCGTTACCTTCTATTTTTGGTCTGCTACACGGAACAAATCATAACCTTTGATATACGGCAAAATCTTATGTAGAGATGAGTATAAGGAATTTGAAAAGTTGATCCAGCAGGACTTGCAGGAGGTCGACAATCGTTTGGAAGAAGAAGAGGTTAGGACTATCAGCTTCTCCACCTTTTTCTGAACTGTTATTCCAGCCAACCATGAGCTCTACCCACGCAACAGACTTCTTCCATTAACCTTGCATTGTGATTATTTTTTGCAGTTTGATGCAGCTGAGACGATAGAAGAGGCAGAGTCTGTGGAACAAGGGTAAAGTTTTTTATTTTTTTTTGTGGCGAAAAAGAGTCGATACATTTTAATCTCATTGTAGCGGCCCTTTTTGAACACTCTGTGTCTCGCACTTCATTCCTCTCCTTGTTCACAGGGCTTATAAGGAGAGAGTTGAAAGGCTGAAGAGAAAGAAAATGGAGCTTAAGGCTGCTAGGTCAGCCACCCATAGCAGAGGTACTCGAGTCCTGGGCAAAGAATCTAGCACTGATGAATCATCAAGTGATGACATTAGTGAGGAGAATTTTGCAGTTGATTGGAGAGCTAAACATCTTTAAACACACTAGATATTTGCTGGTAGTGCTTTCTCTCCATCCCTTGTTTGTGGTGGTCTGTGGGCCTGCAAGCAATCACATTTGTATGTATACCGATAGGTGAACCCCAGCTTTAATTGATGTCTTACGGAATTTTGCATTCTTGTAGCATGTGGAACTGTTCTCTAGAAGATGTTAACTGGCTCCAATTAGGCACTCGTATTTGGGCATCAACTTTCCTCGGCTGAACTTACCCAAAAAAAAAACTTTCCTCGGCTGAACTTCGTTTTAATGCTCAAGGACTCTCATGAGGTGTAGCATCCTGTTCCTGGCAGATGTGGCGTGCAATGCATCAGAATTTTTTTTTTTTTGATCAAATGCAATGCATCAGATTAGATACTGAAATAATTTGCATACAGTTCAAGCCATGCCATCTAGTACAACCATAGCTGATTCAATACACGAAATAATAGATAAGTTATGGTGGAAATCTGACCAGTTAAGCAATTATAGCACTAAACCAAGGGAAATTAAGATGTCAATTCACTACAAAATACATCACTTTGGAATCTGGTTTCGAGACGTTTTCGTTTTGATTAACTGAGGTTCGTTAGGATGCCCCTGAAACATCACCAGAGTCGAGCAATAGACAACAATTTCGGCAGATTTTTGTCTAGTCACCGACTTCTTTTTGATTTGAACTCTTTCTAAAGCAAATAGAGCAATATGTGTCGAGTGAGATCAATAATCAAAAAAGAGAAATAATAAACAAAGAAGATTTCTATGGGACTTATAAGTGCTTGGTGCAACAGAGAAAAGAAATACCTAGACAACTTATCCTCCTGAAGGTCCAGTCCCTGTCCATTTGTGCAGAACTAAATCAGAAAATCAAAAAGAACACTGTAAAAGTAGAGCAGAGAATTTTTGGTCTCAATTAAGGAAGTGTGTTTTTTTGGAGAGTCTGAGGTGGGACTAAATCCAGTAATTTTAGGCTACAGAGCCTTTTGGTTGAATTAATACTCATACTTAACAGGGTAACTGGCTTATTACTAGAAGCTAAAGCTTCAACCCCATGAATATAATTCTCTAAAGAGCAATGTTATTGTGACTTAATTTATTAACCCATGAATATTTTTTTCTACATCCTTCATGAGTTAAATATATATGTAATATGTTTACAAATAAGGGGACCTTCAAGTAATTATCCAAAAGCTGGAAACATATTAGTTCACCAAGAATTCCAAAATTTGTTGGGGTGCAATGTGTAACACGAGAAAGAAAAAGAATATAAAGTGTTTATTGTTCAAAAGAAAGGGGTGTTGTTGGATTTTATTTTCAATGTGTAATTATACTAACTTTCTCTCAGTTTACTAAACCGAAAGTCTCTGCTATATACCACACCAATTCCACTATCTTTTCATCTTTTCCAATCGTCCAGAACTTGTACCACCGAGCTTTCTTTTTCTTCTTTCTCCTAGTTGTTTGATCTCACAACGAAGACACAGTGAACTCACTTTTCACAAATCCCATATAAGATTTGAAGTCTAGGCTCTGATACCTTTTTTAACGCCCTGATTTTTCTCTTCTTTTCAGAGACGTTAATTGATATAAAAACACACAAATAACAATAATAGAGCACTAATTATCCCAATATAATTTCATTTATCAAAATCATCCCCCAATACAAATAAATCTGTCAATATGATTAAAACATCAATTACATCGACATTTCCTCGTCTTTAATACTCTGATTATCTTGTTATGATATTTTCTCTAAAATCAACTTAAAAATATTAAATAAAGCGGAGAAGTATATAATATGATGAGGAAAAATATACTCAAGGACATTAAATAACAAATAATCGAGTATCACAAAATATCTCAATCAACAGATACAAATATCATATTTGCATATCACATATTATACAGGATCTTAACACAGATCTGATACTTCACCAATCATCTCACCTCAACTTGATCTCACAGGTCTCTTGGCTGCCACGATCCCGTCTCAATATCCGTAAAACACGATCAATGAGATCAAAATATTCAATGATATTCAATCGAATTCTAAAATAACGATAGTACAAGTTAGAATACAAATTAGAGGATAGTCAAGAAAATATTCTTTGCAAAGAGATTTAAGGAGAGCATATTGCATACCATCCCGTACCTCAGAATCATTATTTGAATTCGATAACTCAACTTTCTGTTTCATTCTTCTTACTTTCGGTTAGCCCTCTGTTTCTCATTTTCCTCTTTTTCTCTTCTTTATTTCGGCTTGACAACTCCCCCTCTTTGTCTCTCTCTGTCTCTCTCTCTCTCGGTTGGAATTAAAAACACCCACCAAAATTTATTTTCTCTCTCCCTCTCTTCCTCCTTGTTCTCGGCTCAAATGGACACACACATATTTTTTCCTCTTTTTGTTTACTCTTCCTCACTCTTGGTTCGACAAGAAGAAAACACTGTAACGCCCCAAATACCCCCTCGGACGGCATTACATTCTAAAACCTTTCACAATCATGAGAGCACTAAATAAATCCATAAATAAGAAATTTTTATCCATCAACCATTGATATTTTAACAAAATTCGGGCAGAGTCTCCTTTGTACGGGGAGCTCTACCACAAAATCCAACCTGTGCAATTCTACTATAATGACCACACCGGGTCCAATTAACTACTATATAATCAATCCATCAAATTTACATGTTAACCCAAAAAAATATGCCCACAATGGCATGTACATTCCCAAAGAATTAAACTATGATAAGCAGCGGAATTTCAAAAGATAACTAGACTTTACAATCTTTCAAAAAAAACATAGCCTAGTCTAGAACAAAATAGAAGGGCCGCTCTAGGCGTCCACCTCGGGATCTACGCTCCCGTCGATCGGAGTCTCCCAAAGAATGGGCTCCTCGACTCCTGGCTCCTCCTCAAGGATATAGTCTGAAAAATGTTAACAGTAGGGGATGAGCACTAGGCTCTGTAGCAAAATCTTCCCAACTCCAACAAGGTTTATAAAATACAAAACGGGTCGGTCACATTTCATAAATAACATATATGAATTTGAAGTAAAACGGGACATTTTAAATAGATCTCAAGTTTAAGCCATACAGTAGTTAAGGAGAGAAATAAATTAAGTTTAACCATAGCAAACCATTTCCAACATTAAGTCAATTAGGAGGGGCTCCCTCCGATGCATCGTCCCATACCAATGCACCGGCCAAGCCATTCCAGCCAATCATCACATTTATGTTGGTTCATCCCCGTACCATGTATGTTGATTGTTTCTCATGAATCTACCCAACGATTATACCTAGTCCACCCATTTATAATCACAATCACAAGTACTTAGGGAAGGGGCGTCTACCATCCCAATGGCAGTGACGAGTCCCTCCCCAGGAATGGTATACCAACCCTAGTTCGAACTCCAGGCGTACGATAGTGGTCGCATTACCAAATGACAACTCACTACAAGTGCAAGAAACCATCTCCCCCCCACTGGGTTCAACTGACATTTACACTCTACGGCATATCTCGTAGGTAATCCAAGTCCCTCCCAACCACCATACAATGAGTAAACCAACATATTCTCAATCAATTCACATTTTACCAATTAATCGCAAAATACCCAAATTTCACAAGTAAAGCGTCATAGCAAGATGGAATTAAAATGAGCAAAAGATCAATATAAAGATCATTTTCGTTGAACAATATCGAACACTAAATTTATAAAGTGAGAACCAAGGCAATATATGGAGAAAACTCAATTTTTCTTAAAACCAAGTTTGGAAGATGAAAAAAAAGAGAAATTTAATGGTTACCAAACCATCCCATTATTCAAACATAGCATTTATTACAAGGAGAATTAAGAATCATACAAATCATATCAAATAAATATGGATGGGAGTGGAAAACATATGTATATACATAAACCCTAGCCTCAATGTAAGAAATTAGGAAGAAATCCCCTACCTCTTGGTTGTAGCTTCAATCTAAGACCCAAGATTCAAAATCTTCCTATTCTCCTTCCTTTTCCTCTTAATTTCGTCCTCCTAGGGTTTCTAGAGATTTGGGTGTGAGTGGTTGAGGAATAGAAGCAAAAGAAATGGGTGGAGAAGAGAAAACTTGAGAAATTCGGTTTTGATCTTTATGAGGTGGGAATCTCTCTTGACCTTGGTGTTTTTCTCTCCCTTTTCTCTTCTCTTAGGGCTCTAAGGTATTTAGAGTGGAAGGGAAATGAAGAATGGGAGAAATAGGGCTTGGAATGGGTGTTTTAAAACCCAAAAATCCCGACTTTTACTGTTTATCGTCTGTTTTGGGGGTTTTCCAGACTTACTGTTTTCCTTATTTTTGATCATGATAAACTTTGAATCTGAAAAAGTGCAAAACATGAAAGTTGTAGATCTAGATGTCTTCTGCATTGTGTCAAAATTTCAGCTCAATCGGACCATTTTAGCAAGAGTTATGACGATTCTACGACAACTGGTCCGGAGTAGGCAATGTACCCGGAGCAGCGCCCCAGCGCCCATTTGGGCGCCCCTTTTCACTTCCAATCCTTCCAACTTTAATCCTAACTTATCCTACATACTTTTCTACATCGACCTAATTAGTTCAAGTTCTTTTATGATTTATTTTGTACATTTTCATACCGAAACTAATCTTTTAACTACTCTTTCCTTGAGTTATACTATTTTATCATTTCAAATGAAATAATTACTGAACACCTATGTCTTTTATTTTTTTTTATTTTTTTTTATTTTATACGCATGTGGGGTATTACAATCCACCCCCCTTAAAGAAAGTTTCGTCCTCGAAACTTACCTCCAGTAACGAACAGAAATGGATACTTCTCCCGCATTTCCAGCTCCGGTTCCCAAGTAGCTTCTTCCACTCCATGATGTTGCCACAAGACTTTCACCAATTTGATTACTTTGTTGCGAAGCACTTTCGCCTTGGCGTCAAGAATCTTCACCGGTTGTTCTTCATAGGTTGCTCCGTCTTGAATCTCAATGTCTTCCAA